GATATCAACATAAACTTACCAAGGATACCACCTGGACTGGGGGTCTGCGACTAAATTAACCTACAAAGCTAAAACTGTATAATAACAGGCCTCCAAAACAGTCACCCCTTTCTGCTCTACTAACTCTTGTCAATTGGATCTGAATGACCTTATGCAAAGGATTGGATCAGCCATGAACGGCATGCAAACAAGCCTGCAAAACAATGGGTTAACACAACTTGCTTGCATCAAACCATAACTACGCACCTGTGGTCCCGCCGGTCAAGCGTACAATCATGCGCTTACGGCTTGTCAGTATTCGCAGACTGCTCAATCGACAACAAAAATATGACTACCCCGGGGCATTAACTGGTTAGCAACAGTGCTCCAGGACGTGGTGCGTATTCAGATGGCAAGCGTATTTTCTGTAAAATGCCACAGTTGTCTGTTTAAAGGCACTGCGTTTTGACGGAGGTGACGCGCCTCTACCTAAAATCACTGCCCCTTGATAACCCAACCGACCACATTTCCACCACGGACGTCACCCAAGCTTTTTTACACTATCCAGGTGATCAATCGCAATCACAGTGGCACATATTCAAACTCATAAAACAGATAGACACATGCGCTCCCACCTAAACGTATACACATATATGAAATCATGGCTAACTTGTGCCGTATTTTATACCTTCCCATTATTTAGTTGTGTCTTTAACAGAAATATGTCTACATAGGCGTGTTTTTCTTTGCACGAGAATAAAGCATTTACTTATTTAGTTATTTAATACGTTTCGTTGGCTTGTTCATTTTGCGTCGACCGGATCACATACAGCTGAAACATCACCTATGTAAACGAAGATAAAGTCGACCACTGAGACTTGGTCCGTAAAGTGTTGGAAAGATGGCGCGGCACTTCGGAGACTGAATGACATACTGAGAAACTAGCACAAATTGAAACTGGTGGTCAATGCCGTTTTTCAATGCCTTACGAGGGCATTGGGAATTGATGATACGCCCTTAAAATATTAAGCTTATGAAAGATCAGCTTTCCAGGTAATACTAACCAAAAATCGTGCAGATGTGGGCTCGGGTAAAGATCGGGAACTGTAGCGTTATTCAGTGCTCGATATTCGCCACGTGGACCCAAACATTATTTTGTTTAAGTACAAGATGCGGGGAAGTTGACCAACAACTGCTTGAAGGGCGAATAATCCCTAGCTACAGCATGCACACGAACTCATTCTTAGCTACCCGTAGTATTTCAGGTGTAAGTCTTAGTGGTTTCGGCAACACCAATGACCCAGTTGGGACGACGTGCTGTTGCACATCATGCCTGGGTTTTGTCACGCTGTTATGTGCTCCGATAAGTGAAGTAAAAGGCTGCGGTTGTGTGGAATATTGCGTACGATCGGACAGGGTCTCGTAGTCCGACGGAATTAATTGCAGTAAGCCCGACGGATGCAGTTGACGAAGTAGCAAAATCATGCAGGTTTCCACAACTCAGCTCTACTACTGGGCCAACTATGCTAAGGAAGCTGCTACCATTGATAGATTGATGTTCGGCGGGGGATGCAACATTAATAGGAAAACTGCGACGTAATCCAAGGCCGACCTTGAAAGGTTTCCGGTCATTAGTCGCACTCTGCTTCTGGTTAGCTGACTGCAGCGTCATTTCAGCAAACTGTTGCAGCCACTTTTCAAGTAATAGAGTATAAAGCTTGTCTCCAGGCCGATGTCAAGCAAATTTGGATTATGGTCGTAGAAACGAATACGTACAGGAGGCAAATAATAATTTGGCCAGCGGCAACCGTCGCTTTTACCCAAGTTGTAGTTAGCGAAGACATTGGGTGGGTAAACCCTGGGCGACATTTTCGTGCTGCTTCAAAAATCGGACTTGGAAGTAGCAGTACGAGCGCGACGATCGTCTGCAATAGGCGCCGCGTGCCCTGCTTCTTAAAAAATATAATTGGTTTCCTGTTCGAGTGCGATTAAGTTGAGGAATACTGAGCTTCAAGTTTTAGCGCCTCTCACTAACAAACTCTAGTACGGCACTAACTGGTGTCTGCAGCGGTAGTCTCAGCTACATGCGTCAACATTTTTCAATAAAATTTCGTGCACTTTGTTCTCCGCTTTAATACGCTTAAGAAAGGAAAAGCATTTAAAGGCACAGCTGGCACAGCCTTCGTGTTTGCTGAGACAATTAATCCAGAGTGGGCGGAGCATGGTAGCACCTAAGGATGGTGAGTCGACAAGTAAACGCATGTATCAAAGAAGGTGTGACGTTGCACGACCACCAGGCTCGACGCCAGAAAGTAGTTGGTGAAGGCCTGTCTCGTCGGATAATGTAGTGCGTTTAGGTAGCTGCTTTAGAACTCTCATAAGGTGAGTCAGTCAACGTATGTTCAGCGATGTCGATGACTTCTAAAACTACGGGTGTAGGTAAATGGGCAGTAACATTACAAAACATTGTAGACTGTGTGGTGCTGTTAACGAAATGAAAGATAGATCTCACTTGAATAAACCATAAGAGGGGGTTGAACACGTCGAAGGATGGCAGAGAAACTGTCATGGAATTTCCGGCAAAATGTACACAAAGCGGCTGAGCAAACGGGACGAGGAAAAAAGATGTCCTAAAAACGTTAGGGGTTAACAAGCATTGTTGTGGTCGGTTACTTGATAAGTTCGATCCGAAGGTATCGGACAATTGTAGGTAAAAGCAATAGACGAACAATGAAACATATTTGCGTTATAGTTCTTTCTTCAGTTTCCCCTAGTCCTATGCCGACAAGCTATTCGCAGCTCTAAATTCGACTTTTCGAAATGCGTGGTGGCGGCGCATGCATAGACATCCGCAAACGAAATCAGCTCCACACCAGCGTGTTGAAGTAGTTGCAACAAAAATTTCATTTATTTAAACAAATGGTACCAAATGGTTGACAACGGAAATGAGAAGGCCAAAGATAAGAGGTAGTCTACTCAGAATAGCAATTTTTGCTTCAACCTAAGCGTTGGGTTTTCGACTACAGGCCACCGCTGGAACTTATTCAACCCAATTGGGATTCCTCCTAGCCATATCCTCTTGCGTTTTGATTAAGTAGAACTGGTTGGCGGGGCATTTGCTGCTGCGTAGACGGTGGATTGTTTCAACTGACTACTTGACTCCCACCTGTTAAATATACGGGGCTCGTGTTGGGCATGTACGATTGTGACGGCCCTCTCCGTAGTTTCCTTTACGTACTCATGCATGCACCACAGAAGTGATCAAGAAGTGATGAAGCTGACAAGATATAATCCTCCTTCTCTCGACTACAAAATAAACCAACGACAAGTTTCCCAGTGCAAGCCAAAATATCCTTATACACTGCTTTTCTTTCTTCCACCTTCCTTCATGCATTTTTACACTCCTCTTATTTCAGCTGATCTTCCTTACGCTGTAGCTTCGAGGTAACACTTTATCTTTTGCTTACTTCACGTGACTGTCACAGCAGGGCCTGCGAGGGCAGCAAACGTGTGTATTAGTTGTTTGACTAAGGTAGGATACGTGTTTTCTTTTCTAGATACTTCAAGACCTCGGGGCACTTCCACAATTCCTGGCTCAAGGATCCACACAAGATGTAACAATTACGAAGTTCTCCCATCGTTCCAGTCCAACCTGAACCTGAACATGGAATGAATACTAGCAATCCTGCATACTGCTTAGTGTGCCTCCATGGGCATGCCTCGCATAGGCGAGAAGGTTTATTTATGTATTTATTACAACTTTGCCCTTTAACCACAGAACTGCGTAAAATAAAAAATGGCACAAAAATGGCAACATAAGTAAACAGTTTTGGAAAATTAGTTTATGCAAACTAGTGAAACGAACTAAAATATTTTAACCATACTGTAGTATATTTGAGCAGAGAAATACCAGCGTGTGAAAACAAGTCCCGAGGAATCAAGCTTTATTCAGCTGTGAATAGAGACCGGAGCCAGTTTGGGAAAAGGTAGATAAGTATAGTGGCAATTATATATCCGAAGCTGAATAATATCACATTCTATCTCACTAAATCTGGAAGGAATCATGTGGTACGTGGTGCTTGGCATGTGGCAGGAGATGTGTGTGGAAATAGCGTTAATAAAGAGTAATGATTTGTTGGTAGCACCGCTGTAGCGGGAACAGAATTGTTGTTCAATTCTCTCTGTTTTGAAGGCAATATGGACGCACGCGCTGTTGAAGTGCATCAACTTTGCTCTTCGGGGACAACGCTCCGTAAAAGTTGGCTGAAAATGATCCGAATCCATATCGACTTCGTCATATATGAAATCCTGTTCTTTCGCTCTGGGTAGGATTGTTTCTTCTAAATCGCCGGTTTATTATCGTGCTTGGTCGGTCAAACGCCTATGGGCGCCAAACTGGCGGCACAAGCTGACGGTGTCCTTTTGAATTGCGCACGTTGTGCACCCCAGACAACTTTTTATGAAAGCAGACGAAGATGGGAATAAGTCATTAAGCGTCGTGCGATAAACTTAAGATTTCATCCCCAATAAGCGCACGGATCCATTGCATGTCCGACCAGCTCTCTGGTGCTCCTTCCTAGAATGCTGCTGCTGACTTCGAGTTTTAAAACTGCATAATATTTTTCACTTCTTGCTCGATGTGGTCACTTGTCGGTCTTATAAATCTCATTGCTATGGACACCATACACCCTGAAACGTAATTTCAGGGCAACCAGTACCTATACATTCACCCCATCTCTAGGCTTACCTACTTAATTTCTCCTTAATTCTTTCGCTTGCCACCGTCTCCTATTTGTCCTCAATCATCCTCTTATTCCTGCTTCCTGTTACTAAGCTACCTTTGCCTTCACAGATACGTTAGGTGGTAGCAAAACACAAACTACCAAATATTTTCCGCACTTCGTGTATCATTTCATCTTGGCATAACATATATGACTGTTACATCAATGCCGCAGGTTGTCACCGACTTCCTTTGTAGTCTCTGCTGCTCTCTTTTTCTTTACTTTCTGCTCTACACCGAGGTCTGTAGATATCAACAGAAAATTACCAAGCGTCCCATCTGGTCTTTTTGTCTGCGACCGAATTGACTTACAAAGACAAAAGTGGAGCAAGTCAGATCTCCAAAACACTCACTCCCATCCCGCTCCAATAGCACTGGACAATTTGGCCTGGATGTTCTTAGCCAAATGATTTGATCAGCCAGGTCCTGTCTGCAAAAAGCCTTCAAAACAAATGCTTAACACAACATAGCTGAGTGAATCCATAACTAGCCACCTGTGGTCCCGTCGGCCAAGCGTCACATCGCTCGCTTATTGCTTGCCAGCAATTGCACGCTGCTCAATCGACAAGGAAAACATCACTTTCTTATGAATTTATCTGGGTGGTTAAGGTCTACCGTATGCCAGCAAATGATTGGCGGCGGTGCTCTAGGACGTGATAGGTTTACTTCTGGCAAGCCGTCGCTCTATAAAAAGCCGCTAATGTCTGTTTAACGGCATTGCGTTGAGGCGGGTGTGACTCGCCTCCAACTAAAGTCACGCCCCAATGATTACCCAACCAACCAACTACACTCCCACCACGGACTTCTCTCAACTCTTCTCATACTATCCACGCGAGCAATCAAGATAGTATTAGCAAATATTCGAACTGGAATAACAGATAGACACATGCACTTCTACATACATGTGTGGACTCAGCTCCAATGCTCAGTGCTAACTTACACCATGTGTTATGCATTCCCCGATGTTTAGTTATACCTTTAACATGATCATGCCTACATAGGTGTTACTCGCATTGCATGGGCATAAAGAGTTTATTTATGTATGTATCTGCATAGCGCACTTAATAAAAGCGAAGGCGGTTCCTCATTGGTTGCTGTCGTAAATCTTTTTAAACCACGATTCGTAGCTACGGTAACTTCGTTAATATTAATAGCAAACAGAGCACGTGAACATTACAACCGATTTTGCAGTTTCATTGCAAAGGAGTGCTGGTGCAATCAGAAAGAAGTTCCTTTATTTGTCACTTAAGGACGACAATGATATTAACGGTTGACAACTTCTATAAAGTTTTCCGCCATATTTCGAAAGAGTTGTACAGAATCCATTGCTACTTACTCTATAATACAGTATTCAATATTCAGTATTCAGTAAGAACGTGCAGAAAACGCATATCACCGCAAAGGGCGTTTGAATGTCCGTTCGCGCATAAAGCTGTACGAGCGGGCGCTACAATTTGGCTTACTGCTCATTACCATGAACGCTCTAAATTAACGTATGTATTCACAAAGACTTGCTTACCATTACCTAGTAACCTAACACAAAACTTATACGTAGCAACGCTGGAAACGGGGAAGTCTATCAGAGCTAGCTAGCGAGTGAAAATCGCAGTACGCCATGGTTCAAAATGGCTGCTGTGTCACAGGCAGACAAGTAGCATAACGTCGAACCGCGTGATTAAATAAATCGCAAAAAATGTTCTTATTTATCTTACTACAACTACGGTCCTTTATTAGGAAAGCTTATATCAATGGCCAGCGTCTCAAATTTCTGTGCAGTTTGCAAAATCATGCTTTGCTTACGGTTTTCTTACGTTTTCCTACGACTATTCGTAGGGTGGTGTTAGCAATGGTCAGTTTCCGGATGGATACTGTCTCCTATCTCTCAGTTGAAATTGAAACGTGTGCGTATTAAACGTTAACCTCGAAAAGTTCCACCTGTTCTACAAGGGTATCGAACTGGGATGACCGGACTTTCTTCCTCAACAGGACCGGAGCCGGTGAAGACAGACAGGTAGGAATAGAATAGCCAGCTGAAGTTTTCTGCTCATGTTTGAAACACCTCTAGTTTGGTGTCACGTTTCATGGTGCATAAAGTGACAGAACTGAATGCTCTGCGTCGATCAATACGGCCAACACGTGGCTAACACTAGGCGTAACCAAGTTAAACCGAATCTGTACCAAGGGTAATTTGAATTGTTCCTAGATACTAAAGCAATCTTAGCTTAAACTTCTAGTTAAACATCATTTATCATTAAATAAAGCTTCCGTGCAAAATTGTTTTAGTCTTAGAACAAGGGCAAAACTGTTTAAGTGAAAGGATGGTTGCCCATTTTCATTATACTGCCAAGACACGCCGGCCTGCTGTTCCAGGTGAGAAGGGCGCAGCGGAGCAGTCGCATCAACGTTACCCCGTAAAAGTTATTGAGCAATAAATAGTTTATAGTTATTTTATAGCACGACTTCCGGCACTCTTTCTGCCTTTGCAGTTTTACTCAGTTGTGCGCAACTCCACTATTGCAATTATTTAAATGTGTTACAACCAAAAACACGCGGTTGGAACAATATTGCTGCATCCGTACGCCCTGGTGCCTGATTTTTGGAGCAGACGCCTTGGGCGTTCGTTTGACCGTATTGAGGAGCTTTCTAGTTTATTTTCAGGCATTAAGGTTCCTCATTACATTACCGTTAAATAGAAAGCTTTTTGTGCTAGGTACGGCGACGATAAGGATTCAGCACCTTATTTAACAATATCTAAGGACATATAAAGCCATTTTCTTCATAACTTTTGGCTTTTCCGCGCGTGACAAAAGCACCCTCCAATAAAAGTGCTCGCTGCCCATATGTTTGGATAGAATGCTATTGCGTGAGTGCCTTATTTTTGCAAACCTCTCCTACAAATTTTACAAAATTTTAGCTGTTATATAAGTCACCCAAATGTGCTTGCGATGATGTATCAACTGCTACGAAAAGCACAAACCCGTGTTAGTTATTTTATTACATTACTAATGCGTTCCACATTAAATTCCGAGGCTCTTCTGTCTGCACAATAGGATACTAAGTGCTTAGTCTAGGAAGCGAATCGCAGTGAACCGTAAGTATTTTTATAAACTTTTCTCAGAAACAATTAGCTTACATTTTCGATGTTATGGTGATTAGTTTTACTTTAGTTACTAATAATACACTGGTGTTGCGCACGTTTAAGGCAAATATGGTTGCATACGTTACACACCTGGTTGTTTCAACATCCTTACGTGGAAGCATGATAACGTGAGTTGAGTGTTGGCACCTGTACAAAATAACATGCACAGCTGATTGCATGGGCCCTAGTTTACACTTATTTCAACACCGACTTCTTGCACAGTTTATCTGTGGCCTTTTTGTGTCTAAAAATATCTATTCAGGGCGCCGTTAGCAAGCTTGAAGGACGCCTAACGGATTCGCAACGGAAGCTCGTCCCCACAGGATTGCCACAAAAGGTGGCTATTAGTTTTCATCTTGCAGATCTTCATTGTCTCAAACGGAGTTCCATGACTGCGAATTATTTTCTTTCAGCCTCCGTGAAAACAGGTGACGCAAATTTGCCTTTAATTATTAACATACTCGCAAAAGGCGATATTGGACAAACGTGCTTTGAAATTTTATTGTCTAATTAATGTACCAATTGTGCAGCATTTCTTTAACGGTAGGGAACGGTCTGATCGGCGGAAGGAAAACTTGTGTTGTTTCGGTACGTTCCGTGGTACAAATGGTACATAGCAACGGTTGCTTTGCGACGTTGCCAAGGTGGATGAATGTGTAAATACTTGTAAACTAGGTGAAAGTTGGCTTTGGAAATAGGATGGTATGGGAAGTATGATGCCGTTGAAATGATAACCTGTATTGGTGCATGTACGAGTGTTTGTTTTGTTTTTTTCGGTGGCCATACTGGTTTTTTCTGCTGTCGCTATGGTTGTCGAGGATAGTGAGCTGTTCAGGTCTTTGGTTATTGGGAAGTATGAACTTGTTGAAGACCTAGAGTAGCGGTTGGAAGGTTTTCAGATTAAAACGGCGACTGGTTTTTCCCGTGCATCTTCCAAGTCTGCTGCGGCATACCATCGTGGAAGGAGGAAGCCGGTTCCCGATGGGGAATGCTACGATTACATCATGTACCGTTGCATTCGTCTTAAACGTTCAGGATACGTGGCAAGCGGTATGTTGGTTAATTTTTTGCAACAAGGCCACTAATGCATGTAGATACAAGTCGTACGATTGCAAGGCTCGGTTCTCCGTGGTTTACAAGGATGGAAAATATGTCGTGGGAAGTAACGTCATGACGCATAGTCATGATTTTCACTTGGGCAACCCATGGTTGTATGCACGGAACCGTCGTCTTTCTCCGATGCAAGAGAGGGAAGTTCTGCGTTTGATGGATAGTTTCCGTAGCACCCCGGATTTGTGTCTTTTTATCTACCAGGAGTACGGCAAACGGGTAACTGTTCTGGACATGTATAATTTGCGCTTTCGTCATCGGGATGCATACGTTTGTGAAGTGTCGGACGTGGCAACGATGTTGGAAGGGCAGGGTGTGTGTCGATTGGTGTCGGAGGGTAGTCAGATACGTCATGTGTTTTTCTCTCCCTCGTTAGTTCGCGGCGTTGTGAACAAATAAATAAATAAATTGTGTATTCTCGACTAAGCGAGGCGCGCCTACGCAAGCATGATCATGTTAAGAGTACAAAGTGTGACCAGTTAATGTACAATGGAACAATGGGATTGTTTCATATGTTTATGTATGAACGTATGTACGTTTGCATGTAGGCATGTGTAGATTTGTTTATGAGATTGGTAAATTTTTCCTGTCGTTTTGCTTGAATGTGTTTGAAGGTGTCGCCAGTGCTGAATGGATGCTTGATATCTGTGGACTTGAAGCGATTGTCCGGATAAGCAATGGGTGAGGTGCTATTATGCGATGCGACCCACCAACTGAATTATGGTGGCTACATTTTGTGGCAGTGCGTGCTGGTGGATGTCACAGGCCTAAGGATTTCATTTTACTACGCCCAACTACCGCATGAGACTTCCTACAGCTATGGCCAAGCGGTTGAGGCGATGCGGGAGATGGTGCCTAGCACCGTACGTTCCCACACAGTTGTGATGGCTAAATGCGCTGCTCAGATCCGGACGTTCAGACGTTTTTATCCCAACGCAAAGGTGGTTTTTTGTCGTTACCATGTTAAAGTGGACATGGCTTGACGTTGCGACCGCTTACGCGGGATCACTGATCCTCGTAGAATGCAATTACGAGTTTGGCTTCATAACCTCACATATGCTCGTGCCGCCTCGG